AAAAAAAAAAAAAAAGAGCTTCTGTGTTCATATCAGCTGGCCACGCTCTGGAGCACCGTCCTCTGAAATGGGCCGCCGCGCCCACACCTCTCCTGCAGACCGCGCAGTCACCTCTGGTTTGGAGAACGGGGCAAGCAGCCTGAGCACTGTTAGAACGTGGATGTTTACAGTTCATCTGGTCAGCACTGAGCCCCAGTCATGTATTTGTCTGGGGGTTTGAGATCCTCAGGAACTCTCTGAAGTGCGGCTCTTGGAGTCTGGTTGAGGGGGCACCACTGCCCTATTGTGCCAAGTGCTTTGCCAGCTGGGAATTTTTGCATAGCTGTGACCTATGCCTGGAAGGCTCTCATTCTTAGTCTCTGAAAGCCTTCAGGTCTCAACTTATTTTATTATTTATTTATTACGTAAACTCTACCCCCAACAGGGGACTTGAACTCACAACCCTGAGACCAAGGGTGGCATGCTCTACCATTGAGCCAGCCAGGTGCCCCTTCAGGTCTCAGTGTAAAAACTTTTCTTCTCAGACAGCTTGCTCTGTCCTCTAAATCCAGCCTGAATGGTGCCTGCTGTTGGAACCCAGTTCTTTTCCTTCTTGGCATTTATTACAATTAATAGCAATGAGATTGTTCTAACTGATTGGTGTATTTATGTCTTTACTCTCTGTCTTCCTCACCAGAATGTAAGCTCCATGAGGGCAGGGACCACATCGTTTTGTCCATCACTGTATGACCAGGGCTTAGCATACTCTTTGGCACAAAGTTGTGCTCAGGAAATATTTGTTGGCCGATTCTCAACCATGAGTTTCCTCCCCTTTGATGTCAGGGTGTTAATGTCTGCCTCATAAATGTTATCGTGAGGGTCGAGAAAGAATGGGAGCAAGGAAACTGACACACAATAGGTGGTCAATAAATTCTATTATTATTATTATTATTATTATTACCGTGCATTCAGAGGTGAGTGAGGACTGAGGAATCTTGGAGATGGGGACTTGAGGACTACTTAGAGTTGGACGGGTTTCCTAGAATCGAGAGGGCATTCCAGGTGGGAACAGCTGAAGCAAAGGCTTGGAGGAGAGAAAATATGAAGGCTGTACCCAAACCTATGTGGCTGTATGAACAGTAGGGTCATGCAGTTAGAAAGGCAGATTAGGGCCAGACTAGGGAGAGCCTTGAATGCCAACCCAGCACATTTAAACTTGATCCTTAGGCAGTAGGATGCTGATGAATATTTTTGAGCAAAGGTGTCAGCTGAAGAAGTGGTATTTTAGGGAGACTGAATCTGGCAAATCTGGATCAGGTGGACCAAGGAAGTGAAAAACAAGTGTGACTGTTTCATTTAAATCTCCTCTCTAGGGGTGCCTGGGTGGCTCAGTCGTTAAGTGTCTCAGGTCATGATCTCCAGTTTGTGAATTCGAGCCCTGGGTCAGACTGTGTGTTTGGATTCTGTGTCTGCCTCCTCTCTCTGCTCCTCCCGTCTCACTCTCTCTCTCTCTCTCTCAAAAATAAATAAACATTAAAAAAAAAATTTTAAATCTCATCTCTAATCCTTGTGACTGAATGAAACATGCACAGGTTAAGGACAAAAAACCCTGACAGGAGTTCTATCTGGATTCAAGCCCCAACAAAGCAACTTTAGGATCTAGCTGACCCTGAGCACTTCCCAAGCACTCACTTCTCCCCAAGCCTCAGTTTGCCCATCTATAAAATGGAGATAATAACCTCTACCCTGTCTCACTGGACTCTTGTGAGAATCCAATGAAATTAAAAATGCACTCATTAACCCATTCAAAAAACGAACCCCAATCGTGTGTCAAGTTGTGTCGTAAATGCAAAGGAGAAAGAGATGAAATACAAGTGCACTGAAAAGGGGTACATAATATTACCAAGTATTGAGTGCTCACTGTATGCCCCTTTCCACCTGCCCATTTCACCGAATCGGAACAATACCCTTACCAGGTCGAGCCCATTTTATAAATGAGGAAATGGAGGCTCAGAGAGGCTAAGCAAATCATCCAAGGACGTTCAGCCCTTAAGTGGCAGAGCTCAGGGCTGACCCATTCGTGAGATGACTGCCTGCCTCCTAGTGCTAAACCTTTGAACACATCTGGCCATGTCCCACTTCTAGGCCTTTACCTTGTCCCTTTCCAGGTAACCCATCCCACTTTTTTTTTTACCTGTAGAACTCCTATTCATTATCTTTAAATTTTTTTTTAAGTTTATTTATTGACTTAAAGAGAGAGAGAGAGAGAGAGAGGGAGAGAGGGAGAAAGAACATGAGCAGGAGAGGGGCAAAGAGAGAGGGTGGGAGAGAGAGAACCCCAAGCAGGCTCCAAGCTGTCAGCGTGGAGCCTGATGTGGGCTCGAACTGTGAGGTCATGACCTGAGCCAAGATCAAGAGTTGGTCACTTGACTGACTGAACCACTCAGGTGCCCCTTCTCAACTTTTAAATTTTAGATCAGACTGCAGGAAGCCTCCAGGACACCTGATTGGAGCCCCTCCTCTGGGCTTCCTCAGCATTTAACCAAACTCCTCCTATGAGATAATCACATCAACACTATATCTTTGGGGGGCACCTGGCTGGCTCAGTTGGTAGCACAGGTGATTCTTGATCTCCGTGTCATGCGTAGGGTCGTGAGTTTGAGCTCCACCTTGGGCACAGAGATTACCTAAAAAAAAACAAAAACAAAATTTAAAAACACCACACACACACAAAGCACAAAAAATACCATATCTCTGGTCTCTAAACTTTTAAAAAAGCATGTTCCCT